GTTGTCGTTTCGAGTTTGCTGTCTTGTTCGAAATTCACGCAACATTTTGATTGGTTTATTGCTGTTTGGGGTCTTCGCTGGTGTAATGTTTGAATGAAGACTTTACCATATATCGTGATGGCCTCTCCTAGTTTAAGGTGGATTCCGCAATTAGGGGGCATAGGGCTTTCTGGGCCTGTGCCAGGTCAGTACTAGCGGATCTTTGCCCCAGCATGAAGCTCAGCTGCTTGGAAGGCTGCTTCAAGGCGCGCATGGGGTGTTTTGGGTTAGGGGTTGGAGTTTGAGGCTTGCGGCTTGGAAGTTTGGGGTATGAGTTTGTTGCGGTGGCCATTAGTTGGTCCTTGGTCTACGATGTACTGGCGGTGGTGCGACGTTTGCGTGGGTGCTGGGGGAACCATTGACTCGACAGCAACCTCTTGCAGTCTTGCAGTGCCGTGAGCACCGATGTGCAGAACTTGTCTAGGCTTCAGGGTTCATTGAGCAAGTTCGAGTTTCCTCAACCCCGGACACCCTAAACACCTCTCGATCAAGTCCTGCACAAAAGGTTTCAACCCTGCACCATGAGCAGACAAGCGCAACACTTGGCCCCTACTCGTAAGAAGCTTCTAGCATTTCGTGTTCGCCCACGTCGAATTCGCTGTGTAAAGCAAGAACCCCATCATGCATCAAGCACCCCTGAAGTCGGGCCAGGCTTGGAGGAGAGCAGTCTCTCGGTTCACGACGTGACCAGCGTTCTGGAACTTGACCTCAAGCGACCAGGCACCTAGATTAGGAGGATTAGGATCCAATCGTTTACTGGATTGGAGTTCAAGTTTAGGGTTCAGGGGGTTCTTGGGATCTTCAGGCTTTCTTGGGGTGTTCATGCTCATCTTGTCCTTCCTGTATCTATCTGTGTATCTTCCTGTTTCTTTCTGTCTATGTACATATACATACAACATGTTTCGCTGAAACGATGGTCATACAGGCTTTTGATAGTGTTCTGTCAAAGGTGAAATTCTCTAAGACCCAGTTCCTGATCACGCTGTACATGGGTGTTTCTTCTTTGCTGGCTCTTAAGGTCTCCTGGTTCGAACATAGCGGTAAGTCACAGCGTTGTGCTTGGAGCATTGGGGGCATCAGGCTTCAAGAGGGCTTGTACTTCAGGGTGCATGTAGGAAGCGGGATATGGGATTGAGTAATCTAGTATGATTGGTCAGCTTGTAATCTAGAACTGACTAACTCTAGCACAGATTCCAAAAAAAACAGCTCTAGCCGTTCCGGCACGTGCTGCTGACTGACTCAATGGTTTGTGGTTTCTGGGCCAGGGTTTGGGCACCAGCGGCTTGACGACGCTACACCAGGCGAAATTTAGGAGCCTGGGACCGAAGCTTTGGATCCCTGTTCCTCAGAGAGCGAAGCGCTAACCCGAGCCGAACCAGCAAAAAGCATTCAGAGTCATTACACGCAAGCACAGCGTTACGGTGCCTCCCAGCCCCTAAAGGCCAACACATCAGCCTGAAGGATTGAATCCCAAAGCCCTAAACCTCTAATTGTATGTCCGAGACCGTCAGAAAGCTTCGCCTGCCGAAGCCTCAAACCCTGAAGCCCCGTAAGCCCTCTCAACTCCCAAACATCAACCCTTTTACCTTTCAGCCCGAAGCACGCCCGGAGGCTACGGCGACTCCTTGGCGCAGACGATGGCCTCGCCCGACGGGCAGGCGCCCAAAGAAGTGGCGCCACGGAAGGAGGAGAAGGAGGAGGTCGCTAATCGGGGAATTCAGGATCCTTTACTTGCAAGATTCGTATGTGTCGTGCGGTCGAATGAGATGGCAAGTCAAGCACGGGAGCCCACAGGGAGCCATTGCAGTGCACATACTATAGACATAGAAGCTTTAAGAATTACAATATTATTCTTTCGGGCTCCTTGTTATAACTATACGATAAGGGAGCCCAAAGCCCTATTCTCATCATTAAGGCCCCGACATTAGCCTCCTCTAGGCCCAGGCTTCTCAAGTGACTGGGGTTGCTGGGCTCAGGGGGGTGTTGATGTCCTAGGCCCTAGGCTTCCAGCACCGATAAAACCTGAACGTCTCAACAACGGTTTACTGTTTAGGGTTTACGGCTTATAGGGTTTAAGGTTTATGGGGTCTACAGGGTTTATATGGTTTCTGGGGCTTTTGGGGTTTATAGGGTTTGGGTTTAGGGTCTGGGGTCATGAACCCTCGCACCCCGGCACTGCATCCAAGATTTTAAACAGCAGACCGAAGTGCCGAAGTACGATATGTCTTGGAATCCTGACCCTTCGATTCCTACTCTCAAAATCCTACTCCGTCATCCTCATTCCTGAATCCAGCATGCAGCAATGCCGAAGTTCCAAATCATTGGTCTCCGGGGTTTTCGCGCCGAAAACAGGAGGGTTTCGGGCGTAGGGGTTGCCCCAATCATTCTGCCGAAGTTCCAAACCTGGGAAGCCCACCTCCGCAACATCACACTCCACTCCTTTCATGAACCCTGGATGCAGGGATTCCCCGCAGCCTTGCTAGATTCCCAAAAAGGTTTGAAAGGCCAACTCAATCCTGATGATATGGATATCCCAACTGTTGTACTATTCCTCGTGTTCCTTATTACTTTTACAAGGAAGCATAATATGCCGTTTTCTAGTGATCAGAGCTCCATGCTATTATACGACCCCTAGATGTCAATAACCCTTACGGTTGAAGGCCCTGTTTTGGGCCCAGAAGTCCCCGAACCGCTCAGAACCCGAGGCTCCAGCCTCGGCAGCCTGCGCTCGCTGTCGGGCCACACAGTCGCAAGAGATGCTTCGAAGGTTGATTTATTGGGGATGAAGATGGGGGGCCTAATGTAGGGTCCTTAAACCATAAGGGTTACCATGGGGCTCCGAATGGTACAGGGGCCTTGAGAATGAGAACTCCCTCGGGATTTGGAGTACAAGGAATCTGGGCTGCAGTTTCATGTTGGTCGATTTGCATGCTTTAGACTTAGGGGTACTTGGAAATAATTTTTAATCTTTGGCTACTATAAACCCTAAGAAGCAGCTAAACTTATAATTTTTGCTAGGGGTCTAAGTTCAGTATAGTAGAGTTATTTAAGGTGGATCGGGTTCTCGGAAGTTTCGAGTGTTTCCGGCTTGTGAGTTTCGGCTCTGTGGGGAGGGTGAGGTTCCAGGCTGAGGTTCTGTTTAGGGTTTAGGGTTTAGGGTTTAGGGTTTACTTTACCCTCCACCGTAGCCCAGGCTCCTATCTCCGACCTTGCCTACAAGCCCGAAATGCCAATCTCGGGGCCCCGCCACCAGGTCTCTTCTGACTCTTAGCCGTCTGAGTGTAGAGAGACTGCTAAGGCTTGCACCCAAAGGCAAACCCTGAACCCTCAACCCGAACTCGCAAAAGCCCTGAGACACTAAAGCCCTTAACTCCCTCAGCCCCCCATTCATGCTCCGAAACCCCAAACACCAAACTCGCAAGCCCTGAAACAACAAAGCCCCAAACCTTAAGGCCCTAGAGGCCCAAAGCCCTACAACTCTGACACTTTACCCCCAAAGCTTATTGTAGCACCCAAAACCCCAGAACCCGAAAGCCCTGAACTTTAAACCCCGGAACGCCAAGCCCCTAAACCCTAAAGCCCCCAAAACCCTAAAGACCTAGAGAACCCTAACTGCCTTCAGGCGAAGTCCTGGAAGGTCTAAAGAACTCTAAACCCCCAACAGCCCCAAAAGCCCCCCCAAAACAAACAAAACCCCAAACGACTTGAAGAACCGTAAACATCCCAATATAGGGGTCTTAATTATTACCTATATATTTGGGGGTTCCTTACTATACTTTTTGTATAATATACCCCAAGATAAGGTCGAATTATGAAGGCCTCTATAGTACTAAAGGCCTTCAGAGTCCTGGAAGGTCCTCGAGCGGCAGATGAAGGCTTTGGCTCAAGCCTTAGCAGGCCGGGTCGTTATCGAAGGGCGAGCCTCTACTGGGTTCTTGTGAAGGAGCTTCCTTGAAGTTGCCATAGATTTGGCTCCCATGAAGGGTTCTATAAGGAAGAAGTTTATCTTAGGTTAAGTTAGCATGCTAGAGATCTATAGCACATAATATACGTTCCTGATTGTAATAATTCTACTACATTATATCCTTTAACAAGAACCCAGCCTGATGTACTTGCAGGATCATGGGACTTAGTGATAGATTATAGTGGGCTATAGATCAGGTGTCTGTATAGTTGCGTAAAACTCTTTCGGGTACCAATGAGAGGACTTCGCGAGTCCCCTGTTCCTATCAGCAGAAATCAGCCCTTGTTTTAAGGGCTCGGGTAGTAGGATCCTCAATTTTCATGCCGGTTGAGGGAGAGCCTGTATCAAGCAGTGGTCTTCATGTTAAGTCTTTGACGGTGGCTTGGGGGCTTGGGATGATGTAGGGTTGCTACTAGGGTGGCTTGTGCATTGAGGGCTTTAGCATCAGGTTTTGAGAGGTTGGGGTTATTTCGGAATTGGGGTCAGCATCGACTGCATAGATGTCAAACATGCTATTTATCAGGGCTAAACTTACGCACTCTACGATCACATGCACCTGTTTTTTCGTGGGAACTTTGGAATATACTGAGCCCCGAGCAGTAAGGATTGTAGTCAACAGGTCCTGCCAGCCACGTGGCCTTCTGGCAGCGACAGAAGCTGCAAAAGCACTCAAAAAAAATTGAAGCCCAAGACCCTAAACCCTAAATCCTTGACCTCAGGCTAAACCCCAAACCCCAAAGCACTTCAAAGCCAGAAGCTTTCGGAAACTGTTCAGTCGAAGGCTTGGGTGCCCGCATCTTCAACTGGACTGCCTCTACCTCGGCAGAATTCAGGGTTTCGGGTTTGGGTTTAGGGTTTAGGTTGCATTTTCTTCAAGTTAGGTTTTTGCTCGGGAGGTTGGCTTCCACACACTTATGTAGAGTGTATTGTCGTCGATATCTGTATCTATATCTATATTTGAATCTGCATCTGTATCTATAATAAATAAATAAATAAATAAATAAATATATATATATATATAAATACATACATATATCTGTATTTCTATCTCTATCTCTATATCCATCTCTACATATATAACCAAATAAACAAGTAAATAAACACATAAGTATAAACGCATATATATATAGAGAGAGAGACACATGCATATATTGGGATGCCCGATCGGTGAGTGAAGTGTTGGCGGGGATTTAGGGTTGGAGGGTTATGAGGTTTTCGGCTTCAGGATTAAGCTTTTGGGATTTGAGGGTTTCGGGTTGAAAGTTGCAAAATCGGTTCGGGAGTTTCGAGTTTTGTGGTTGTTCTGGGAGGTGGCAGGTTGGGTAAGTGTCTTGTGCTTGAGGGCTTCCGGTGCAGCTCAAGATTCCTATCGAATGCACAGTTGTTGTAATCTTGGGCGCCATAATAAAGGAGTTGGCAAACTTTCGGGGGACATCGGGCTCGAGTCCCAGACTGCAAGCCGCAGTTCAGTCGTCGTCCTGCCTTTGCCCACTCTGCGAAGGAGGTGGACAGAATGTTTGGGTGGTAGTGCCGGATGCAGCCGAACAGGGGCAACGAGATCGACCAGACACCCGAGCTCAGTCGATCTTGCACCTCTTGGCCCAGCCCTTGCGTATGTTCTCTGGGACGAGAAGACCTGCAAAGGGAGCTGGGAATCTTCAAAGAGGCGCTGGCACAGGAGTTCGAGCATCAAAGGACCCTGGAGTGTCCGCTGCGGGAAGCGGAGGAGCCGTCCTTGAGAAGGGAACTTTGAAGTAAACTCTCTTCCCTGAACCCTTAGGCCCTGAGCCACTTCGCCCTGCCAGGATGAACTGCTGAAATGCAGAGAGCTGCACAAAGAGAAGCTGGCAAAGGAGCAAGAGAAGTGGAGAACCATACTGAGCACCTCTGAGAGGAACCATGAGGAGGAATTCAAAGATGTGGCAGCTCAGCCTTCATGATTCTTCTTATTATGTTCTCATAAGTAGCAGACCTATGGCAGCCGTTGAAAGCGCTTGTGCCAGTTTGACCACATGTAGGTATTAGTATCAAGCATTAATTACAGTCCTTTTCTTCGCGAAGCATTTATCTTTGCTAAGGAAACAGACTTCAGAATGCACTTGCCAACCTTAGCATGGAGCGCGACATTGGTTTACAGAAGACTCTGGCGCTGCAAAGCGAGCTGCGAGAGAGCCAGGAATCTTCAATCAATCGGCTTTGTAGTAGTTTAGGGTTTGGCATTCCGTGGCATCTGGGGCTTTCGGGTTGAGTGTTCGACTTAGGATTTAGGGATTCAGTGATTTGTGTATTCTTCCACCGACTGTAGCCGAATTAGAGTTCCACTTCCCAACGCGACGGGGCCATGCGAGGATGAGATGTGCAGCCAGGCGAAGAGGCACGAAGAAGAATTAGAGATGTGGAGAACCATGCTGGGCACTTCCGCAACGATGCATGAGGGCACAAAGGAGAAATTGAAAGAAGCGGCAACTTGACTTTGCAAGACTGGGCAAGCGTCTAGGGCCCTGCGTAACGATTACCGTAGTGCCGTAGTGTTCCACTTCGCGTTCGGATTTCCTTTCTAGTCGCTGCTGTCTCCCCATGTTTCCTGCAAGTGGGCTTTGCTTCAACCTGCCTTCGCTTTGCCTCAGACAACATTAAACAACTAAACGACCCTTTGAGTCCTTGTCAGTCTTCTAGAGGCTCGTTCGAACGTAGTTAGAAGTCTAAAGAGCTTGTGGTGCATCTGATATTTTTTGCTCAGATGTGTGTTGTAGTTCTGAACCCAGCTGCTTGGAACCCCGGACGACTGAGTAGCACAAATAAGGTTCTAGCTTGATGGGCAACTACCAAGCCCAAGTATCACCCTGCGTACGAAGTTCCTACGGCTCCAAAGAAAGGCAAAGAAGCTCCAGGCTGCTAAGTCTGCTTTTCAGGGAGAACGAGACAAGAAAGAAGCTGCTGAGAGAAAGCTGCGGGATATTCAGGCCCTGCCTGCTGGCAATACGAGATAAATGGTCAGTGGCACCCGTTTTCACCAGAAGGAAATGATCAAATGCATCAGGCTTACTTGGCATACATCGACGACATGCTTGAAGGCCGCTGGGCACACATTTTTGCTGGTGGTGTGGAGCGGGTGGTCGATTTCGTGGAGATGAAGCAGACGAACTTGCGCACACGGCAGACTCGCGCGATTCGCGTCGTTACCGGAGTACCTCGGCAGTGGGAGAGCGTTCCGGACTCAATTCCTGTTTGGCCCGGTACATCACGAGGTACACCAGGAGTTTGTGATTTTCGACCGAGAACAGGCCTACCCATTCTTTTGTCGTGCAAAACTTGCTATGAAACGCTGCAAGCTTCTTGCACAGCGGTAAAAATGCAAACTCTACCTGACAGCCCCTTTACTCTTCCCATCGCTTCGGTCAGTTTCGAGTGCGAGGTCTGGGATTTAGGGCCTTTAGGGTTAGAGTCAACAGCCTACACACCTCCTCCGGAAACCCAAGCCCCAACAACCTTAGTTTATAGGGGCCTGAACAATTATCTATAATATTTTGGGGGTTCCTTTTTAATTTTAGTATAACATACCCCAAAAACCCAATTCTAATTCTTAATCCTCTATTTTTTAGACATAATTAGACATAATTAGCTTCCTGTCTGGTTGTTGATTTCGGGCTCAATATCGTCTCAGCTTGGAAAGTTCTTGGCCCCCCAACCTGCTTAAAGGGTCATGGGAGTCAGCAACTTGGGTCACAAGTACTTTAGCTATATAGTTATGAGTAAATTGCGCATGCCCCCCCAATTAGGGTTCTTATAGCTGGACTTACCTCCTGATCCCGCAAGTCCTGGCCCTATCTCTGCGAGTTTCCAAGACTGAGGACATGCTTCCGTGTGTTACCATGTAGCGTTCGGCGGTTCGGGGCCTAGGATTTCGGGCATACGTAGGGTTTAGGACCTAGGATCTATAGTGTACGCCGGGCTTCTGTAGATGCTCTCAGGTAGCTCAGGCCACCGGGCTTCTTCATCAACGTCTCCAGGATGCGATACCCGAACATCGGGGCCTGGATAATTAGTGATATCATTGCTTTGGCCCCCGTTTAACTTGTGGCTAAATGTACCCTCGATCCCTATTCCATTCTTTAAGCCCCTATATGAAGTCCCAGCATCCTATCAAACCAAACTCCAAAGCTACCTGCCGAAGCCTCGAGCCCAAAACTCGAGCTTTGCGAAATGAGTCCTTGCTTTTTTGGCCGTTGCAATCAAAACCTAAACCGAAACAAAGAAATAACGCCTCGAAAGCGAAGTTCAAATCCCTCAAGACACCTCCCCGTTGAAACTGGTTCTAAGGTTCAGGCATCGCTACAGGAGCTGCCCCCTCAGCTTCTGCGCCATATTTGGATTGGGTTTAGGTTTAGGGACTTCAAGGTTTCAGTAAGTAGGGTCATAGGAATCCTGACATCGGGTGTTCTTCCCCAACGGGGGCACCCTCTTCGTAGCGCAAGCCTTAATTCGACAGAAAAGGCTACTGTTGGGTTGCTCCAGTGGCTATTATATCCTTGATTATCTAAGTACATGGAGTTTTGAGTTATGGCTCGGTGCATCTGCGTGCCGCAGAGTTACTGCAAGGGTTACAGTAAGGCTTACCCCCCAAAAGCGAATGGTAAGACTTAAAGCTTGCGTGTTGGCTAAGAGTTGGTATGGTGTCTGGGTTCTGGCATGCAGTTTAGACCTGTTCACGACGTACGGCTTAAGCAAAAGCCCAGAAGCAATAGAGCTAAGCCTGCTGAAATACCATGGGGAAATGCCAAGTTGAGGGAACCCTGACATCCGAAATTGCCCGGCTGAAGAAGTTCTGCATTTAAAACCGTCAGACAACAAGCGGCTAGCCAGCAACACAGACAGCTTGAGGATGATTCCGTCGGGCCGTGATGCGACCACCTCCGACTCTTCCATCTTCGAGCCTCCAAACCCTGAACTCTAAACCTTAAACTCCCAAACCCTCCAACCCTAACATACCCAATCCCCCAACCCTCAAGCCCTCAAGCGCTAAGCCTTGCAACTCCCAAGCCCAAGATCTTTGACCCAAAACTCCCAAACCCTAAAATTAGGCCTTGCGAACCCGGACGCTGCCATCCATTGTATGCCACATTGTAATATAGATGGGGCCTTAATAATTAGAATAGGGTGTTGGGGCCCATGATATTATCATTATAGTCAGGAACCCCCCCCAAAAAAAAATCGTATTGGTAATTAGTTCAGCCCCTATAGTCAACCACGCACGCCTCTCTTGCACTGCCATGCGCCGTGCTGCTGCTGCAGTGCGCATCGAGGCTCGTGTTCAGGGGGCCCGGTCTTCGGTGATTCTACAAAAAGTAGGGGGCCTTACTTGAATAAGGTTTTGGGGGTTCCTGCTTATATGTATAGTTTATAGTAGAAAGTACCCCAAAGCCTATTCTAATTATTCAGGCTCCTATATTTAGGTAGGGTTTAGGGGTTGGGGCTTTGGGGTTGTGGGGAGACTAGACATGATAAAGCCCTCCAGAACATGAGTTTGTAGGGCCAGCCTGATGGCAAGCTTCAGCATTCTTGCTTTGTGCGATTGCAGCCCTAAAGTCCCTACAGTCCCAAACACCAAACCCCTGAACCTTGAGGCCTACACCGAGCATAGTAGCAAAATCTAGGGCGCAAAGATGGCCTAAGCCCCGAACCTCTGAATCCCAGCCTAAACCCTAAACCCTAAACCCTAAACCCTAAACCCTAAACCCTAAACCCTAACCCTAAGCCGCGAACCATCCCATGAAGAGGCCTTTCAGCTCTTCCTGCTGGGAGCTTCGACGGCGCTTCCCACCACGCAGCTTCCAAAGCTGCAAGCTGCGCCTTGGCGAAGACCCGACAAAGATCCTTCAGGGCTTCGGGGGTTTATTGTTCAAGGTTTAGGGCCTAAGTTTAAAGTTTAGGGCCTAAGTTGGGGGTTTAGGTCTGTAGGGTTTAGGGTTTCGGGGTTTAGGAATTTTGGATTTGTTGATTCAGGGTTTAGGGATCCACACCTGCAGAATGGCGGGCTTGCGGGCCAAGGTCTGAGTCTGGGTCTTGGGACTTAGATCCGGGATTAAAGGGTTCAGAGTTTGGGGAGTGGAGCCTAAACCCTAAACCCTAAACCCTAAACCCTAAACCCTAAACCCTGTGCTGCATGTCAGAACGCTTTCAAGAGGTCAAGTATCCAGAAACACAGACTAAGGCAGCACAGAGATTCTAGAACTTATTCTAACGTTTGAGCCGTGAATGCTGCCGAGCCAGGAAGTCTTTCATGAGCCCTATGTCGTTGCTGGCGCGCTGGTCAGCGTGAAGGGGCTCCTGAACACGGTGATTGCACCCTACGTGGGTGCCGCTTGGCAGAGAAGCGCCTAAAAGGCATCATCTCATGGCCTGAGATCTAATATGAGTTTGTCGACAAGATCCAACCCCACTGTCCACCATGACAGGGGCTCCGCAACACCGGTTTACAACCAGAGTGAATCCTTGTATGAACCTGCATATCGGAGAAGTATCGAACATGCCTGGTCTGTCATGGTTTGCAGTTCATAGGCTTTGTTTGCGGCTTAGGGTTTAAAGTTCGACCTCGCAGGTCTCGGAGGAGCCGGGCTACCCTAAACCTCACTGGGATAGCACAGGGGGCCGGGACAAGGTTGATGATAGCAGCTGCCCCTCAGGGACTTTCGCAGTGCTTTCCATGTTTAAAGCCAACTGTTTCGTCCAGAGCTCCCTACACCCTTGCCCACTTCAACCTGCAGACTTACCAAGCGGCAGGCGAGATCATGGCTCACTGACTTTCTCGAGAGTTGCCATTTTGTTTAGCAGGATTGATGCAATGAATCTATAAGCCTCAGCTCATTTCGGCGCCCAAAATAGGTGGAATCCCTGCGCCCCACCTCCGAAGCCTAGAGAGCGATCAGGCCTACGTCGACCAGCGTGGTCGTCACCGTCTGTGTTTGATGTTCTGGCTCGGGGTGCTTGCCGTCCCCTTTCTGGCGCACTCGGGCAGAATTCATGGGCCTTCCTTGAATTGGGGGTTCAAGGGTTATTTGGTTATTTGGGTTTACGCAGAGTTTCAGGTTTCAAGGTTCAGGGTAGGGCTTATTCTGGGACAGGGATGTCTGTGATTTCTGGGTGTTGGACGATCGGAGTACGAGGTTTGAAGGCGACTCCAAGAGTGGATTGTTAGCCGCATCAAACTCACTCAAGTGGTTTCGACAGGGTTGAACACGGGCTTTCAGCTTTTGTAGGCTCGGCATTTTGACACTGACGTGTATTGATTAGTCACATTTCACAGGGGAAAGGTTGTTCACTTTCACTTCATGTGATCCCGCGTTCCAATGTAATCTTGTGGGACACAGTGAGACTGCCAGGGTTGATTGAGGAAATGGAACCTCGACCCAAAGACAATAAGAATACTGGCCAACCCCCCGCCCCCGCTAAGATAATGGATTCGAAACGGAAAATGGATCCATTACCCCCCCTCCCCTGCCCTCCCCCTCTTTTTGCCCCTTGTGCGTAGTAGTAGTAGTAGTAGTAGTAGTAGTAGTAGTAGTAGTAGTAGGAGCAGCAGCAGCAGCAGCAGCAGTAGTAGTAGCCATGGTACTAGGAAAGGAAGTTGTAAAAGAAATCATGC